GGCCTAATAGGCCTACAATACAATACAATATAATAATATTTCCAGTAATAAACAAAATACATTAAAATACAAATTAAGTCTTCCTTAATAAATTAGCAAGAAAAGGAGGAAACCGAAGTAATAGTGATTCGGGAGAAACTGCAGTATTCCCTAAGGCATGATTTATATTAACAAGATAGAAGTTTAATTATTTACTTTTTTACAATTTGATGGTAATATATTTAAAACATCTTGAACTTCTACCATGATACCTTGGATAATATTAGAGAGAAATGGAAAAATGTCATGTAAGTACCCTTCCTCTGCACTTTACATTTTGTTATTTTTACACACAACTATGCAATCCAGGAACTTAAAATGAATCCCCTTTCAAAAAATCCTACATTACAGCACATTTGATGAATGATACCATCTAAAGCAATTATAAAATGTGTGTTGACTATTTACACATTTTGCAAGCAAATTTTAGTTTTCTTTTAAAACAAAAGACAAAATGAATCAAATAAATATATGGTAGTTTGTGTCTCCTAAATTCTAATTAAGTTAAGGTCAGATATTTATATATTTTAGACTTTTTACGATTGTCAAGTTGTTATATAGTTCTAATTCTGATGAAGAGAATGACAAACAGATGACGATAGTAAAACTAATATAGGATGAAGTGTGGTAATAGTCGCTACTTCCCATGAAGGAATTGACTTTATCCAAGATAAGGACAAGGGGTAAAATATTTTTAAATAAATCCTGTACATATCTTAAGAAAAACCATAAAAATAATAAGCAATTAGTAGAGCTCCGCATAGTACACTATAGGAAAATTATTATACGAAGGTTAGATTTAATGTTTGAAACATTTTTTGAATACATTAAATCTAACCTAAGTTTAATAATTTTCTGCTAGTGCACAATGCATGCTCTACTAATTGCTCTATAAGTCAATCGCTGACTTTTAATGTTAGTTTTGATAACCAAATGTTGTAGCAGTCATCGGTTGCTATAGTGATATGATAAGCATAGTGTGTGCACATACATTTAGCTGTGCGTATGCTGATTTGTGCTCCTGCTTCCAGAACGCGTTAACTAGGCCTAGCCTACACTACAGCACTACGAACACGTACGATGAGTAACTATTGTAATTTGTATTGTGTTAGAAAAACTTGTTTCGAATGCTACTTTGATACATTCGTAAAAGAAATAAACATTTTTTAAAGCATTCGAGAGAGAATACAATTACTGACTATTTGGTGGGTGCAGACAGGTAAAAATCGTGCCATGCTTTCATAACTGCGCTAGGCTATGGCCTAGTACTAGTAGTAGGAGGCCTCGGCGGCCTCCTGCCTGGCGCCGGTAGGCCTATATCTAATTTCGTTCCTTGGTAACTTTCTTTGGGTTATATTAACCTTCTTTCATCGCAGTGCGCGTTATCTTCGCGGTGTCGAAAAAATGAGGATCTTTTTTGCACACGAACCTAAAAAAAATCCAAGGACTGTGGGGGATAGGAAAATAACATTGGGAGTAATATATATTACGAAATAAATAAAATAATTGAATATATGTTATTGGATTCTATTAATGGTTCACGTTTTCACATTCATTGACTACCTAGTTTATGAAAGGGTGAAGGGCATGGCTTTGACTTAATAAAAAAGCTGGTTTGTGTCAAGGGCACCATAGATATACCTGCTGCTGGAATCATTTTTTTCTCAAAATTGAAATTTATTTAAACTAATCTAATTAAATTAATTTTAATTGAAACCTTATCGACCCTTGAATCTTGCTATTGCCAATGTCATCCTCAATTGAGTAAAAATAACATTGTTGTTATTGTACATTTGTAATTTACCAAGATTGATATCAATTCTTCAGGCTTATCAGGTCAAACCTGGCTTGACTCCACTCTTTAATCCAGGTTGATCATGGGTTGACCATTCTCCTGTCTCAACTAAAATAATTTCCACTGGCCAAGTTAAATTAACGCATTCAAATATATATAGTGTGGACACTCACTCAACAGTTTTAAGCAAGGCATGAAACTCATACTATACCGAAGTCAGCCTGGCTTGAACGCTAGTCTGAATGTATATTAATTATAATGGATGCATACATGAAAGTACATAATACAAATACAATAAAAAAAATCTTTTATTCATTAAAATAACTGCATTAAATAAGTACAATAAAATAAAAATAGGGAATGCTCAAGAAACCCTATTGGGTTTGTTATAAAAAGAGGGACCAATATTGATTAAAGTAACAGAAAGCTATAAAAATCAACGCAAACAAATCACATTTTATCATATAATAAACTACTAAAATAGACATTTTAGCTCCAGCTTTATACTGTAAATCATAGACTAAACTTGTTCCAAGGATTGACATCAGCACCCCAAGATTAGCAAAGTTCAAGCCCTCTACCCTGGAGCCTAATTTTACAAAATGTCAATACTACTGATGAGGTCTGACAGTTATTGTGTAAACTTACATGATCAGATTCAAGCAGTAGGAAAGTCTCAGGAAAGTCCTGTATTGTTTTATGCTGTCTATTAAATGCCAGAATGAATGAATGAATACTTGTACATTCCAAAGGCCGTTTTATACTAGGCAAATTTATTCACACGACACGAATATTTACTATCTTCATATCATATCTGATAGACAATCATGTCATTTTCATTTTTTGCTGTTTCGATAGAAACAACTACACTGTATATTAAGTAATGTTTACAATCTAAAATTATAGGTCTATACCCCTTTGTCAGAAGAAAGTACCATGGTTTAATTTTTCTTTATAAATGTATAAAAACCATCTTTTTATTTGGAATTTAGTCTCTTGTTTTAGTTATATTTAAGTTATATTTAAATGTTTTTGATGTTTCTTTTTCTAGAGTCAACATTTGCAAGAATGGATTTGTTAACCGTTTTTCACTTTATAAAGATTTTGTTAATACTTGTAATATTTTATTGTTGCATTTTGGAAATCATGTTGATTACATACAGCTTTTAACTGACGTGATTAACAGCTGTATATATTATTACCGCATTGATATCTGATTACCTTGTTGAGTAATTTTTTTATTGTTAACTTTTTATTATTGATTTTTTTGTATTTTGTTCTGGCAAAGGCATGTGCAATAATTTTCTAAGTTTTCATTTTTCTTCTTTGTCGCCATTTTTATATTTCATGTCTGTCTGTTTCTTATCTGTTCTGTGTCTTTTTAAGCCTCTAAGTGGCAATTTATTTTCGCTGTTGTTTTGATTTGGAACAATTAAATGACAAGAGGTGCTAGCTGATTTTATAAAAAAGAGCACCTAGCCCATCTTTATTGAAATATTTCCCTGTAATAGGCAATTTGAAAGAACATTACTGTCTATCAGTCTATTAAAATTGTCAGTGTTGAGATGGTTATATATACAAAAAAAATAAGAAAAAAAATAAGAGTTTAAGCAGTACAATGTCTTTGAATTTTGAACACTTTTAAAAAAATTCTTGAGCAGTACAATGTTTCTTTGAATTTTGAATACTTTTTTAAAAATTCTAGAGCATGCATCAATGGTATTGGTAATCCATACCGCCCAAATTTTGATGGTCAGGATAGAAAGCTAAATGTATATTTTTACATGGCTAGAAAAACTTTTTTTATACTTTGTTAGCGAACCCACCGCTGCTGATAATAATGATTTTAAGTAAAAATAAGTTTTATTTTTGGCTCAATTAGTGTACCCGACGCCACGAATAAATGGAAATTTCATTAAAAAAAATTAAAGTTATTCTTCATTTTTATTTTGCCCGCTGCTGCCTTGAAATCTCTTTTTTCCTAATTATATAAATATAAAGCATTTTACCATCCCATTACTACACTGTTTACATTCAACAATAAAATTTTTATTTTCTCTTCCATCTAAATGTTTCTGGCAAAACACTTTGCTAAATGAAACACCAAAATTTTTATTTTTTCCACCCTCTCCTCTAACAATCTTTAAAAAAAAAAGTTTGTGAAACAAGGTATAAAAACAAAACTTGCCTTAGGTATGTCCCAAAGATAGATTCCCTATCAAATTCCAATGATCATTGGAGCTGTCTACTTCTCTTGCATCAATTTTACTCAAGCCTGAGGCAACACTATACATTATTCATTATTTCCTTGACTGCAGTATCATTTTTTGATTTTGGAGTTCCAGATGGGTTCGCTTTGTATAATATGACAATTTCAAGATTTGATTAGAGCAGAAACAGCGATGCAGCGAGATGAAAACACAGAATGAAATTTTTCTAAAAGACACTGAAAGAGTTTGATGGAATAATCAGGAATGGACATTACTCTATATAGCTTTTGAATATTTAAAAACTGGGGAAAAAAGGGGTTATGCTCCATTTTTAAAGTACATACAATAATATATCATCATTAGGGTGAAGCAATATTCAGGCCTAGCAAAGGCCCAATTTGAGCCAAACAGAGAATAAACACTTTTCTTCTAACTACGCACTTCACTTATTATGACGCAGAAATACAAGGTTTTACAATTGTGTTCTATAAACATTACAGCATAACATCAGGCAAGAAAAAGATAACATAACCACAGAAACTTGTTAGTGAAGTGTGTATAATATAAACAAGGTCTTATTAATCTTTTTCACTTAAATGCAGCACGTGCCGAAATCACTGATAAAATTGTACAACATCATTATAGGTATGTCCTCATTAAAGCAGCTAAAGGTGGCAACCATGAAGTAATCCCTGCCTCCAGCTGAGTCTCTTGACTCATGATGACAATGATGATGATGAGGATGAGGATGAATAATACCAGAAGGGGCAGATGGGAACATTCATGTATTGCAAAATGAAATGAGAAGATAAGATACTATATAAAGCACTAAAGTGAAAGACATTAAGACACCCTAAATAATTATGTTTAGCCAGAAAGATAGAAAGATAGTAATCGTGCACCTCTAGTTTTTCTTAATATTGTTTTTCATTTTATGCCTTTTTACTTTATTTCAGAGTTTACATTAAGGAAGGTTTCAACAGATACCTTAGAACAGGTTCTTTGGAAAAGGGTGAGAACACATTATTAAGTTAGAAATGACAATGTCTTAAAATGAAATGGACAGAACATATTTGTTCTTGCCAAAATGCTCATTTTTTACAAACCTACTGTTATAATAATACTGCCATGGTGAAAGACTGTGATCAGTCAATATGGAGTGTACACAATACACATTGAAATATTATCAATTCACAAAACGTCAAATTTGATACCAAAACGTGTAGGCCCTCCCCTGTAAGCACAGAACATGCCACTAATAAATGAGGAAAAGTCAGGTCATTTCTTAGCTACTTATTAATATAATAAAATCCTTGTCATTTTCATTTTTTACACACAGTTCCAAGAGATAATAATGAGGATCGATCGTCATGTACGTGTGATTGACAGCAAGGCAATTCAACCACTCCATGGGGACAAGATGAGAGCCTTACAGAAGCCCTAGTTAAGGGAATGCACTTTTTAACCAATCAGCAAACACCACAGAACGAACTGTACTTTAAATATTTTTATGTTGAATTTCTTTAGAAGTAGTTCCTCTCAGATGAACCTGAACGCTGTCAAATTTCATTTACTCAATGTTCTTCAAACTGGGTCGAGCTGACAGGTGCAAAAAAAATCCACCAAACTTGTCTTTTCCTTCCGCTACATACTCTTGGGAAAGTGATTTGTTCCTAACTGCCTAATCCTTTAATAATAATTAATTTAATTTAATTTTATAATTTTATAATAATACTGTATTATCACTTGATTAGATATGACTTACTATTTATAGAGGTTAACTTTAAAAAGTTGAATAAATTTAGATCAACTACCTCAATATCAATTCTACCTTGGAGAGTAACGTCCTTAAACAGTGGCGCCTGTATTTTGTAAATTAGGTAATATGTTCTTATACATCCTGGCAATGAGTAGTGTTGATTAAAGAGATCAACATATAGACCTTACATTACGGGTTTTCAAAATAGTCATTTTCCCATTAGTGTAAAATACGATTAAATCTATTTCAGACCCTTTCTTTTAACAGGGGGTGGGGATATATTTAGACCATATTTCAAGAATATACAGTACATATAATTTTTCTGATTGTTAGGGAGATTTTCCCTGTGCAACATGCCCCCATGTAATTACCTCCATGCACCCATCTGTGCAACAGTCAGGGTGAGCTCTGGATCCGCATTTGGAATTATTTATTCAGACCAACCATCACTAAAAAGTACAAGTATCAAGTAATAAAAAGATAATGAGAGATTACAAACTCTCATCCTGTTGTGCCATATGTATGTACTGAAAATATAATGGCCAGTGGTCGCTCTGCTCCATTCGCCAAAGGAGGACTACTGTATCATTATAGGCCTTGCGTAGCAAGGAAAATATATAAATAAAATTTTGATATCCGCATTTCACTTCCGATCAGTACCAAGTTTGAGGACCGAGATACATGTAACATTGTAAATACGGTATGTGAAAATTTGAAGTAAATTGTTCCAGTAGTTCTTGCACCCGGAAGGACACACACAACACCTACAGACAGACTGACAGTGACACAGACAAACGCACACTATTATAATACCCTTTACCTTTCTTTTGGAGAGGCGAGAGTAATAATAATAGTAAATCTTCTATAATATAGCATATTACACAAAGTCTCACATAAACTTAAAACAAAGAATGTGGGCAAATTTACTCTAACAAACTTTTTATTTTTGTGTAAAGAATTAGGGTAATTACTTGGACATTGAACTTCATCATCTCTTGCAACTTGTACCTACTTGTACTAGCTGATTACGACATCTTAAGATGCTGATAACAAAGACATAACAAACACATTAGGACAGTCGAATCAGGCCAAGTGTGTGTGGGGGTAAGAATCAATAATGTCATCACCATAACCGTTTGTTTACTTCATCTTGTCTAAACTTTGGCACGAGTCCACTTGAGGTTTTAATCGCTGTCCTACATCCTGCACATCACTGCAAAATCTTTACACAACATTTCAGACAGTATTTGTTTGTGAGTAGTCTGATTTGAGCAAGAATAATGATTTCTTTTTTTAATATATATTCTTTTTTTATTAATGAAAATTGATTCTGCATTAAATTGGCACCCGCAATGTGATGGTATCCTTATATAATTAATATGACAAAGTAAAGAGATCACTAGTAGTACACAATTGCAGATATTCCAACCCCTCAATGTTAAAAAGCAGGACCAATTGATCTGAAAAGCAGGACATATAGTTCAAAAGCGGGACACATTAACTAGAAAGCAGGACCTCAAGTTAACTACGATAATGTACCTCCCTATGACAAGTAAAGTTTACCTAATATCCCAGATGGCCTGGTAGCAAACCACATTGCAAAAAAGAAATATAAATGTGCAAACAATTTCTATAGAGCCAATAGCATAAATTTCAGAAAACAGGGGAATAATCTTATTATGATAATATTATATAGAAGCTGTCAAATTGGCTATTTTACTATAAACATATAATTTAATGAATATCAGTTATAAATAAAATGAATGCAATAAATAATGTTGGTGTATGCGAATTCTAGATGTTCTTTTTCTAGGACATAAGCAACAATATACAAGGGACGGGGGTTAGGGGATAAGTTCATTATACCTCCACCCCAAACTACTTCTCTAAATCCCTATAAATAAAATATATTTTCCTGGACTTCCCTTACAGTAAAGTTGTTTTCAAGAGTTTTACAACCAGGCTACAACATCATGTGATGCCATGAAAACCCTTCATCCAGAATTTTAAAAAGAAGGGGGTGTGTCTGCAAATAATACTTGAGCAAAATAATTGGTTAATCTGTGCTAATAAAAATAAGATGCGTGCCCTTGTGCCACTCTCTATATCTGCCACTGCATATTTTTCATAAATAGGCAGTATTTAACACTATATTGCTGTTGGTAGTTAACTACTGTTTATATTCATGTGGATGTTAAACTTTCAGACATGATAACATATAGCAATCTCTTTGCAGTCAATTTGGACAAGGACCAAAATCCAGGCTTTCAATTTTCAAGTACTTGCTTTTAAAGATTTATTTGTAATAAAGCTGTCGTTTGGATTATTTAAGTGCAGTGTAACTGTCATGACAAAGTTCATAAATCAGTTAAATTTGCCATGCTAGATCTATTATTTCATAGCTTGACTTTCCAACATTCCTGGCTCCAACTCAATCAACTCTTCCACTATCTATCATTTCTTTCCATGGCAAACTTCCCTTTCCTCCCACTTTTCATTCCTTAATTGTCAGACTAGATTTAACTTTCAACATATCATCTTAAATTTAGAACAATATATTTATTCAGGCTACTTGCCTTTGAAAATATTACTGCAAGGGATTCAGGGTAGCAGATGCTAGGAGTAGTTGTGATTCTACTTCCCAACCTTGAGGGTGGAGGTTCAATCGCTTGCTCTGTCTTTCGTTTGTGTCCTTAGGCAAGGCACTTTACCTATTGTTCTCTCTCCACCTAGGAGTACGAGTGAGTACCGGGTAGGCTCAAACACAAAATGTGCTGATTACAGCTGCAACATTACGGAATTCTCCCCAGGGACCTGAGTATGTGTTCCATATGTGCTTGATCCAATGACTGGGGGTAATTAATGTTAAGCGCATAGAGGTCTCTACAATATACGCTACTGTATATATAAGTCGACCATTATTAAATAGAACCAATGCTGTGAGGAAGGCAGAAGGTACGAAGGCATAAGGTACAAAGAAAAATAACAACAGGAGACATTTGGGAAGGTGATAATTAACAATGGAAGAAATGGTGGTCAATAAAAGTGACATGAAATAAACTGGAAAATTGTAAATATGACCTTGTTTTAACACATAGATATTATAACACATTTTAAAAACCAGAGGATCAACTCATTAGTTTCTTTTTTAAATAAGAAATATGATTGCTTTTTTTTCAATAAAAATGATATTAATAGTAATAATTATATTTTCAAAATACTGTATCATGATCTAAAAAACATTCCAAATATCAAAATAAAATATGAAAGAAAGTAGGGCATTAAAATACAGAAATAACAGAATATCAAGCATTTTTATGGATTAACTAAGTTTTAAAACTTATACAGCCAAATTATTGATTTTCTTCAATATTGCTCATTCTTCTTTTCTAGCCATCTGAAAGATACTAAAATAATTATAATAATTGTCTAACTTCTTATCTACCTTCGGCTATGTTGTGGGTAGCAGAAATTTGCAGACAAGTGTTGTGTTGTGTATGCTTTTAGACCACAATATTTGGGATTGGCAATCAAAATAGCGTTATTTGAATAGGCAAATTATTATTTCTTTAAATTTTTGGTCCAACGACCTAGTCGTTCGTCGGGCAATAGGGGGTCTAGGCCTCTCCAACGGGTGGGCAAATGCTCACACTGTCCCCCCGCCGGCGCCACCACTGGGTGGCAGTTTAATCTTCAAATCTCGTTTTGAAGCAGACTACTTGTAGCCTTTTTTGCTTTTTATTAATATTTATTTTGTTTGTACTCGATTAGGTAGGTACTCCACCATTTTAAAATTAAATAGTGACCATGCATTAAAGTTTGTCTTCAAACTTTATTTTGGTCTCCATCTATGCACTTTGTAGACATACATTCTAGCTTAAATTACTACTCACTTGATGTGTTATTTAATTTGTGTGTGTAAAAATATAATAAACAAACAAAAGCTTTATGTGTGCATAAAGAAAAAATGCCAAACACTGATATTGACAAGGTTGATTTGAGCTGCTTTTACACTATTTTACATTACATACTACAGCTTTTTTTTAAAATTCCATAACTGTTACATGTGCAGACAAGGGTTATGAGGTGATTACATGCCGGTAGGAGGTTACATATGGTAGGCAGCTACACACCTGGCGCTCATCTACACCTGTGCTCTGAACTTTGTGTCTCTTACCAGGATCCTTGCCGACTATTAACCTCACCTAGTGAGCGATAAAAAAGGGTCTGCAGGCCTACCTGTCCACATGCCAAGAATCAGCAAGTTATTATTATGAGACAAGATTGTTACACTCTTCTTGGCCAGCTGTGTATTATAAAAAAAAACCTTTGAGCCATTTACTGTAGGCCCAGAGCACACATTTGGCTCATGTGCTCTATAAAGAAAGAACCCAATACTGACACAAGTAGGGGACCCTGAAGCAGAGTACTTTGAAAAAGATGGGAAATCTGGGGTTTACTCCCGGGTTTCCTATCAGTCATGATGTGCATATGTATGGTCATGATATACATGTTATTATGCAACTTTAACAGCACACAATCAAAAAGCTTCACAGAATTTTTTTTAAATCCTAAAGTAAGAAACGTGCCAGGCAAACCACACCTGGGCATACTTATAGGTCAAGAAGAAAGATAATATACAGGTGATGGCTTTAGCCTGGGGTGGGGAAGAAGGACGAAGAGGGTGTACAAAAATTATGAAGAACAAGATACCAATTCAAATTACAATCCTATTGGCCATTTCAAATTCTTTCCCCCTTATTACAGAATGAATTTTCCACATCCCCAAGAGTCAAACAATCCCTTTAACTATCAATTAGAATAAAGAAGTTGAATTAAATTATCAAGATTCATTATAGAATCATAAAAGTTTTAAAAAAACGAATATGAAAAAAGCACATAAAACAAACAATTATTAATTATAAAACAGGCCATAAAAATCATTAAATTTATGAATCAAAAAATGAAAATAGTAAACATTCCATGAAAGGAGCAACAAGTTTTGGAATAAACCAACTTTTAATATGAATTTTTAAAAACCTTTCAGTTTCAACTTTTGGGAGAATTCTTTATAGTTTTTTAAGATGAAAATTAGATGGGTAGGCCTAAGTGATAATTTAATCTCTCAGTTGCTAAGGCAAAGAAAGCAAATCGCCGCTAATGATGGAAAACATTGGCTGAATCATGTATGACTATTTCAATTAGATTTGAAAACCCCAGCCACTTGACCTTGCTGGGCCCCCTATATTCCCAAGATTCTGGCTATTGGGTCCTCCGCAGCTAAAATGCCTAGGGACCCAAGAATGCTCAGCTGACAGTGTCTGCGACTGTATTTGCCCTGCATTTATCCTGCTCCTAGACACTTGAACTATACCCTCACTTTCAGGATTATATGATGTTTACCGATAACGATCAGCTGGTACATGATGGCATGCTGGCCACGCGACTACCTCATTCAGAGGATCAAACTCACATCTACCATCATACCAGAGACTTAAGAGAATGAAAGCTCTGAACATGTAGACGTTGCAAGTAAACATCACATACACAGTTTTAGGAGGTGTCGATAT